GAAGAAAAACTTTAATATAAGTTTAACACAACCTGATGATGAAAAAACCTTGTCGAAACGTTCTAATTTGCTGTTGTTTTAAACTTATATTAAAGTTTTTCTTCATTACCCGTTCAAGCCGTTCTCCAACCATTATTAGTCTCAAAGTGAGTTCCTCTCATCGAATTTGATATTGTTTAATGTTTTCAATTTTAAAATATTCGTTTAAAAAGGCATATTTCCGTTAGAGGTCACTAATGTGTTTGAAACCGTACTGATATTGAATTTTCCACTCATCTGCAACTTTATTATAAGACTGGCTATGAAAAAAATTAAAATAGGGCTTCACACTTAGGAAGCAATTCATAGTGAACGGCCCGGCATGGCCAGGTGGTTAAGCCACTCGACTCGCAATCTGAGGGTCGCGGGTTCGAATCCCGTCACACCAAACATGCTCGCCCTTTCAGCCGTGGGGGCGTTATAATGTGATGGTCAATCCCACTATTCGTTGGTAAAAGAGTAGCCCAAGAGTTGGCGGTGGGTGGTGATGACTAGCTGCCTTCCCTCTAGTCTTACACTGCTAAATTATGGACGGATAGCGCAGATAGCCCTCGTGTAGCTTTGCGCGAAATTAGAAAACAACAACAACAACATAGTAAACATTCGGACTGAAAGGGGTTCGATTTCTAAATGTGATGCACTCTTGTATGCTCATACAACTTTCATGGATAATTTTAAGTTGATCTGTTTTCAAATCAAATATACAATAGTCACGAAACACAATTAAAAGTTTTGTAGCATTTGTTTGCTTTAGCGCAAATCCCCATTGGGCTGTTTGCTCTGTAACCCCGGGGAATCGAATTTAGCGTTGTAAGTCCTTAAACTTACCGGGAAACGTCTAGTATTTTAATGAAAGGTTTGAGTTTTATACAGTAACACTGGAAGATCTTTTTATGTGGGTCAGTGCTCAGAGACCTCATAACACAAGCTTAAATTAAGTACAAGTAAAGCGCGATAAGTTGTAATCCTATCCACCTGGTAACAGGTAAACACAAATATATATTTTTAGCGTACATATCAACTTTCAACTCGAAGGTTCCCAGCACTACGGGGTTCATAACTAAACCATGTTCTACATTTAACCATCTGTTAAATATTGGCGAAATTGGGCACTATGGCTTATCTATTGGAGTTAGGGCACCATTTCCATTTTTCTTTGTCTTGTAGTGTATGTTTACCTTATCACCCGTTTTTTTTTGTGTTTTTTTTGTAGTTATGACAAATATACTATGGCTATCTGCCAACGTCCCGAACTTAGAAGTACTGACCAGAAGGAATGCAGCCAGTCAACAACACCCTTCCACCTACCATCTACACTAAGGATATGACTGTCACTCTTACGACTCACCCATAGCTTAAATTGAGGGTAATATTTAGTGGTCTTGCTCGAAAATCTGTAAATGTTCTTATGTTCACTACTAATTTGAGACGTGACAAGAAAGGTTAAATCTATGGACGGTGAGTCTCCACCAAGACACGCTATATTATTTAAATCTATGGATGGTGAGTCTCCACCAAGACACGCTATATTATTTAAATTTATGGACGATGAGTATCCACCAAGACACGCTATATTATTTAAATCTATGGATAGTGAGTCTCCACCAGGACATGCTATATTATTTAAATCTATGGATGGTGAGTCTCCACCAGGACAGGCTATATTATTTAAATCTATGGATGGTGAGTCTCCACCAGGACAGGCTATATTATTTAAATCTATGGATGGTGAGTCTCCACCAGGACATGCCATATTATTTAAATCTATGGACGTCGAGTCTCCACCAGGACACGCTATATTATTTAAATCTATGGATGGTGAGTCTCCACCAGGACACGCTATATCATTCTCCTGTTTAATTTGTGTACCACATTTCTTCCTGCTTTTAACCTGGTTGTTCGATTTAATAAGAAAAATATTGATGACTTAGGTGAGCTGTTTTATTACGCTCCATTTCTCTTCGATAATAAGGATGACACAAAAGTATCCATGTTTATAGTACACTGTTGAAAATAATTCGAACATAACTGTAATTTGTGACGTTATAACTATGACAAAAGTAAAACCACTGTGATAAAAATATATATTGGTCACCCCTTCGTTAATGTTTATGCAGATTGGGCATATGATGATCTGTTATGTGATCTGAAATGAACGTGACAGGTCATTCAACTTACACTCGTAAAAATTTTAATCTGGTAACACACCTTGTCATCTCATGACATTTCACTATTTAAATCTGGTAACACACCTGGTCATTTCATGACATTTCACTATTTAAATCTGGTAACCCACCTTGTCATTTCATGACATTTCACTATTTAAATCTGGTAATACATCTTGTCGTTTCATGACATTTCACTATTTAAATCTGGTAACACACCTTGTCATCTCATGAAATTTCACTAGAAATGTCATGAAATGACAAGGTGTATTACCAGATTTAACTAGTGAAATGTCGTGAAATGACAAGGTGTATTACCAGATTTAACTAGTGAAATGTCATGAAACGACAAGATGTATTACCAGATTTAAATAGTGAAATGTCATGAAATGACAAGGTGTATTACCAGATTTAACTAGTGAAATGTCATGAAACGACAAGATGTATTACCAGATTTAAATAGTACTTACCTTGATTTGCACGACACCCCTGCTGCCACATGTAAACTTACCTTGATTTGCACGACACCCCTGCTGGCACATGCAATATGTTTTTTGTAGATTGTTTATGTTCTTAATTATTCTTCGTTTGGTGAAACTCTAGCGACATCCCTAGCAACTTGCTGCGACACGCTAGTATTGTGGGATGCTCATGGAAAACAAGCTACTCCAGGCATCAAAGATTCCTTGAAAATAGCTCTTTCAGAGAAGTCGTCAAGGATAACTTAAGACCTCGTAAACGCATGCAACATCGATACCAGGCTACATATGGAAGTGAAATGTCATGAAATGACAAGGTGTATTACCAGATTTAAATAGTGAAATGTCATGAAATGACAAGGTGTATTACCAGATTTAAATAAAAGTTAGGGTGTCGTGCAAATCAAGGTAAGTAGATTAGGGTGTCGTTAGTGAAAAAGTTTGGGAACCACTGCCATACACACTTGACTAGGTTGAAGTCTAGTGAAGGCCACTGTATTCTTTCAATTCCTTCTTCGTTTATCACGTTGGGACAAGCATTATCCCCTATTTGACTGAAATCAGCATATGGTAGCAAAATGGTCTTAAGATGTAGTTCCTATCATGTTTGACATTAGTAGTATCATTCCACAGGGTATAGAGGTTAATGCATTCACCAATACTTATTCCTGCTCACACCATACTTCCACCACCGTCATTAGTGTCATGATCACGTATAGAAATGGAATGGATTTAGTTCAAGATATTATCTGAATGAGTATAAAGCTGTTGCCTGACTGCAGGGAGTAGCATGGCTCATTTATATAAAGAATAGTGATCTACATTTTCTTGGTGCACTGGGAATGTTCTTGAAACCATTGCAGAAGAGAGGCTCTGTGCCTAATTATAAGTGGAATGCATTTCATCTAGCATATAGGATGGCTTGATGAAATATGTCTGTAATACAATCTCCAGTTGCGACTACGAAAGTTTGTTTCAGTCTCACAGAGGGTACCCTACAAATGCAAAACGCCAGAATAAACAGAAAGCGGAACTCTGATTATGTCATGGATAATAGCAAATTGTTTGAACTATAGAGCCATCGGATTGGAAGCAATTCCACGTTCTGGTGGCGACACTTTGAGGTATTTATGGCCAATTCGTAATAATTTGTTGTAATTGGCTGACTTTTATCTTTCCAATACTTTTTAATATGAATAGCAAATCCAAATGTCATCGCTGAGGTCTACCTGTGGCTCATAAACAATACGGAGTACTTTAAACTCAGTGATTCAATTCAAAGTGGTTAATAAGACAAAACTGTAAAAACATTCTATACAAAATAGGCTAAGTTACATTTATTCCTTATATATATGTAGAAACAGAAGTAGAAAGAACGAGCATTCTGTAAATATATGAACACATAATAAAACTAATAAAATACTCATTTTAAAACTACCTACTAACTTGATTTTCGCTTTTTTTTTACATTATGTTTCTTCATTTAATTAACTAATCAATACAGTTCAATTGTTCGGCTAAAATAAACAAAAACTAATTAAACTTGTAATCACATAACTTTATAATCACAAGTTATGTAATCATATTATTTATTAATCAAGTTTTCCATACATGCATTAAGTCATAAAAACCCTATTTTATTGAGCGTTCCTCCATTATTTTAAAATGTTACAATCACCCAACCTTAACAAAACGGCCTGGTGGTCATGGCGCTCGGCTCGCAATTTGAGTGTCGCGTATTCGAAATTCCGCCACACCGAACATGCTCGCCCTTTCGGTCGTGGGGGCGGTATAGTGTTTGTTTATTTTGTTGAAAATATAACAATTAATTCGAAGTAAAACAGTTTTATATTCTAATTGCTACACTCTAGCGCCATAATACATCTTTTGTGTGTGTGTGTGGTTAAAGCGCTAGACTCAAAATCTGAGCATCGTGGGTTCGAATCCCCGTCACCGAACATGCTCACTCTTTCAGCCGTGGGGGATTTTAATGTTACGATCAATCCCACTATTAGTTGGTAAAAAAAAGTAGCCCAAAAGTTAGCAGTGGGTGGTGTTGACTAGTTGCCTTCCCTCTGGTTTATCACTGCGAAATTAGGGACGGTTAGCGCAGACAGCCCTCGTGTTGCTTGGCGCGAAATTCAAAACAAACCTTAACAAATCCACTAGGGTTTCTAGCACTCGGTTGAAGTAGAGAGACACAGGTGCCTTCGCATTTTGCTACAGCCACTGTTCCTCCACATACGCGCAACATATTTCCTGCTTCGTCTTGTTCTTCTTCGCTAATATGGATTTGAGAATGATGTGTGGTGCAAGTTGATTGCTCCATTGTTCGCATATAAGTTAGATCTGATAAGTCCTGCACATGGGCTTGGAACAATGGAGTGTTTGATGTCAAAATCAAACAGAGAACGAAGCAACTAATGGATGAAAGCTTCCTCATCTGTAAAGACATAAAATGAAGCATCAAGATAAGTAAAGGGGTTCGTGTGATTTTTTTAAGCCTAATTATCCAACCTATAATGAAATGACAATATTTCACTCTTATCGTTAATCCGTTCAAACAACAACGAAACCAGATTTAACACAACTTAAACATTTCTTATTAATTGTTACCGGTTTCTTACACTTATTGGATATTTCCTCACCCATGAAAATCACTTGGATTGAACACAATTTTAAAAAGAGCACCAAGTTTATATAATATTCAAAATCTGGCAAACAATAGTTTTTCGAACAAGTTCAATTTTTTGTGGTAAAACAAATACACAAAGAATTTCTGTGTGAATAACGAGGGGAAAAAAATCAACGAAATTATGAAACTCACTTTCAAACTGTCTAAAACGAAGAGTAAACGTTTCCTTTCTTCTGAGACTCGTATTAAGCTGACTTCTGGAGTTGCATGAACTCTCTTAGTCTGTACAAGAATGTAAACCCCATTTTATGTCTTAGATAATGACCAGCTGGGAGGCCGAATAACCATCCAGTCATCGCAACTAAACGGACCACCCCTGAACTGTCCCCTTTGCACTCCATTATTGATACTAAATGCACTTTCAATTATTATGTTGTTTATAACTCGTGAAACACTAGATTAATTAGAAATACGCCTGCCTTTTCTCGCTTTATCGTTCTTAAATGTATGGATCAGTGAAAACTCGGGTAAATTGTAAATGCTTATATTAAGAATGAATATAGTCTGTATAGACCAATTTTATAAACTCCATAAAAGTTCCAAATTGAAGACCGTTGTATAAAAATGGAAAATTATTATAATAAACATATATTGGATCGAACTTTTTTTTCTAGGCGTGACGTAATAAATATTTCGCCGCCCCCCGATGGGACACTGGTAAATCTTCGTACTTAAAACACCAGAATCCGGGTTGGATTCCCCGCGAAGGACACAGCAGATAGTCTAATGTGGCTTTGCCTTAAAATAAACAAACTAAATAAACATTTCAGTAGCTTTATTTTTAACACGTTAAGAACAGTAATGAATATTTTGTATCCCAAGTTCATATAACCAACGAAACAATGTGCCGACAGATCTGATTTTTACCGAACTCATTGAATCTGATTTTTACCGAACTCATTGAATGTGATTTTACCGAACTCATTAAATGTGATTTTTATCGAACTCATTGAATGTGATTTTTACTGAACTCATTGAATGTGATTTTTACCGAACTCATTGAATGTGATTTTTACTGAACTCATTGAATTTGTACCGAACTCATTAAATGCGATTTTTACTGAACTCATTGAATGTAATTTTTACTGAACTCATTAAATGTGATTTTTACCGAACTCATTAAATGTGATTTTTACCGAACTCATTGAATGTGATTTTTATCGAACTCATTAAATGTGATTTTTACTGAACTCATTAAATGTGATTTTTACCGAACTCATTAAATGTGATTTTTACCGAACTCATTGAATGTGATTTTTATCGAACTCATTAAATGTGATTTTTACTGAACTCATTAAATGTGATTTTTACCGAACTCATTAAATGTGATTTTTACCGAACTCACTGAATGTGATTTTATCGAACTCATTGAATGTGTATTTTTACTGAACTCATTGAATGTGATTTTTACCGAACTCATTGAATGTGATTTTTACTGAACTCATTGAATGTGATTTTTACCGAACTCATTGAATGTGATTTTTACTGAACTCATTGAATGTGATTTTTACCGAACTCATTGAATGTGATTTTT